GGTGGCATCTCGGGCGCGGCCCGCCGTCCTCGCCCCCGGCGCCGCTCGCTCCCCCCTCTCCGGATTCCCCCATGTATGACGACTCCTACGTGCCCGGGTTTGAGGACTCGGAGGCGGTGAGTGCCCACGGGGAGGGTGGGGATGGGGGAGTTGGGATGACACCTCTCTCTTCACCCCTTCCCCCAGTTCAGGACTTTGAAAAACGCCTTGACAGCGGGGGGCCGGGTGCGTAAGAGGAGGGGGGGGCCTGTCTAGGAAAGTGGGGATATGGGCTTTCATGGCCAGGTCTCCCAGGTACTCGAGTGTGTGCAGAGGGACACTGTAGGGAGAAGGCTCGAGCAGGTGGCCCCAAAGCTCAGGACATGAAGGCCCTGGCACCGAGGCTTTAGAGGGAAAAACGCAACGTCTGTAGTTCTAAATTCTGGGCTTATGGGGTCTGCACAGAACAGGAGAAGCAGAGCTTCAGGGGAGACACACCGGACCTGTGCCTCAAATTTGGGATCTGGAAGAACATTAGAGAGTCGGGTATCAGCCTCTTGCAGATAGGAATTCTAGAACTTGACGAGGTCTGTTATCCCTCTCTGCCCACCACCCATGCACATGACCTGGACCCCTCACCCTGACTATAGCCCAGTTTCTTCCAAAGGCCACCCACCACACGGGTGGACCCTCAGACTGAGTTCAGTCCACCTTCTCAGCCCCCTGCTGAGGATTCCTGTGAGCTCCTGCTCAGCATGGAGGACCTGGAGGTGAGGCCAGGGGAGCTCAGGGCATGGGGATGGAAAGGAAGCTCTTTGCTCAGAGAACCAGGCAACCAATAAATATTTAATTCTCCTCTTTGCTTTTATCTCCTGACCCACTGAGACAAATCAGCTCATTAGGCAGTGATTCCCGGAGCTCAGAAAGCAGAAAGAATGCCTGGAAAGATGGGACAAGAGTGGGGAGCAGTTTCAGAGCCCCTTGGAGTTGCCAGTCTCCGGGCAAACACTCCACAGGAAGGCCTTCTTGGGAAAGGACCACTATCCCCTGATAGGATTGGGTCAAGTCTCCTGTCTCACGCCCAGGACAGATGAGCGGTGAGGCTCAGGACAGGCACATGCCAGTCGGTTCTGGGACCAGACTCCTTCCGGACCCAGTTTTCCACGGGGCTCTGGGGCTAATTACATTGCAGTGAGAGCAGATAGATGATTTTCAAGGCTCTGGTGGGCACCTCTTTCTAACAGTTGAAGGGACAGCTGGTGTAGCCCAGGGTGCCAAGATGAGCTTGGGAACAGACCTCTCTGAGGCCATGGGGCCTTGGGTGCTCCTTTTTCATCCCTGCTGAGAAGTCAGGCCTGTGGATGCCTTTTGAGGGCAGCCTGCTGACCCTTTGCTCCCTCCTGACCCTCTGTTTCTTGGATCGCTCTCCCCACTTTGCCGCCTCCTGCTAGCTCATTGCTCTCCCTGAGGCCCCCTCTGAAGCAGTAGGAGGGAGATCAGGCTCTAAATAAATCCACTGGGCTCATCTCCCTCCTCTCCTTCCCCCGTGCCAGGCAAGAGAGGAGCTGCAGCCTGCCCACACACTCGCCAGGCAAGGGGGGCAACCACCAGGGCACTGTGCCAACTCCAGTGACTCCAGAGTGCTGAGACTCTGTCTATTGGGGCATAATGGGATGGGGAAATTAGGCCCTAACGTGTTCTGCCGGGTGTTCCCACCTTGCTATTGCTCCCAGACCAGCACAGACAACCCCCCGCAAGGACATAGGAATTATGGAAAGTGGCTTCCCACTCAGGACACAACTCATTAAACAATTTAGGGACAGATCTGTCATTCTCACCTAGACAGGGTTAAGAGGTCATCCAGCCTAGATAGCCCAGATACCCAGAGGACTAAATTAGGTAGGCTGAGAGCTAGCAACAGTAGAGGTCAAAGCCACACTTCTCCCGACACCTGCTGGGTACCTAGGAAGTATCTCATACATACACAGTGGGTGGTCATCCTGCCTTGCCCCGGCCTTTCTCACCTGCTGGCTTCTCTCCCCCACCCTACCTCCGCTTTGCAAGCCGTACCCTGCAGCTAGCACTTACGTCCTGGGAGTGAGGTCCCTGGGACTTTTTCTGGGACTCAGCCTTGTTCTGCCTTGGGAGAGTCGGGGAGCAGAAGCCTCCACTTGTGCAGAACAAAAGGCTTTCCCGCTTTGGCGCTGCCTTGAGCCTTTGGTTTACAATAGACACAGCCCCCAGCTCAGACTCCAGGTCTCTGCACTGGCAGGGTTGTAGGTGGTCCTAGCCCGAGGATGCCAGGTGCTGTTCTTCAACCTGGACATTCTGAAACCTCTTTTCCTACACACACCCTTTTACCTTTTCTGTGCCGCTGTCACCTCAGAATTGAGGGAAGAGTCCCTCCAGACAGCTGCAGGCAAGGAGAAACTGAGTCTCAGAAAAGATCGCCCTTTCCCTAATCCAGTTACCTTAACTTTCAGCTGCTTGCCTCAAAGTCTGGCATCTTCTTTATGGTCTTGAAGGTGAACTCTGCAACCCTTCAAATGTACACTCCTTACCCTAAGATCCTACTTGGGCAGGGTTCAAAGACTTCTTATTCACACTACCAAAAGCACCCCATCCCCAAGGTCCTGTATCTCAGCTGGGTTGCCTGGCACCAGCACAGCCTCCCTCCAGGGCCTGCTACCCCTTGGGCCCAGGGGAAGGCGAGGGAGCTGCAGGCCAGGTGGTAGGCGTGATAGCCTCACCTGTACCCAGGAAACTAGCTTTGTATTGCTTTCTCATTCTGTCTTCTTGCTGCTGACACCTGGCCAGTTTCCAGTCCTAGCAGATGTGGGAGGAAAGAAAGTAGTGGGTGGGGAAAGCAAAGGAGAGGTAAAGTCTAAGAGTCTGCGACTTTGGGCCCAATCTTCACACTATAGGACAAGTATTCATTCATTTAACAGTTTTCAAAAGCCGGGCGGCGGTGGCACACTGGCATCTGGGAGGTAGAGGCAGGCAAATATCTGTTTGGTCTGTATAGAAAGTTCTAGGCTAGCCAGTGCTACATAGTGGACCCTGACTCAAATAAGAGCAACAAAAAACTCTGAGAAAGCCTCAGTGATCAAATGGCCACATCCAGATAGGGCTGTGCATGCATGCATGTGTTTTAATTTACTGTGTACATGTGTGTGTAAGCTCACACACATGTCACTGTGTGATCAGAGGACGACTTTAGAGATGGGTTTTCTGCTTCCACCGTTGGTTCCATGGATTTGGTCATCCTGTTATCCTGTTAAAGCAAGAGAATGCCTTTACTCAATCTTGCCATCCCCTACCCCATCTGGCGGCTGCTGCTGCTGCTGCTGCTGCTGCTGCTGCTGCTGCTGCTGCTGCTGCTTCTTCTTCTTCTTCTTCTTCTTCTTCTTCTTCTTCTTCTTCTTCTTCTTCTTCTTCTTCTTCTTCTTCTTTTCTTCTTCTTCTTCTTCTTCTTCTTCTTCTTCTTCTTCTTCTTCTTCTTCTTCTTCTTCTTCTTCCTCTCTTCCTCCTCCTCCTCCTTCTTTGGAGGGAGGGTCCCAAGTAGCACAGGATGGCTTTTACCTCTGCAACTGAACTTGAACTTCTGATCCTCTACCTCCCAAGTGCTGGAATTATAGGTGTGCACCACCATGCCTAGCTCTGACCAGCATCTCTTGGCTAGCTGTATTCTTGCCAATTGTCTTAAAGGGATAATGGTCAGGTTGCTTCAGGCTAGCATGGATAAGAAGGCCTGGTTTCCTGGATTCGACACCATCTCAAATACATCATATGTAGTATTTTTCCCTTCCTTCTGCTTCAGAGGACATGGTAGAGGGGAGAAAAGAGAGAGAAAAATGATAGGTGTGGGGTCTGATAGGTGTGGGGCAGAGGGGCCCTGATCTTTGCACGCATGGATTGGGCCAGCCTCCCTGTATCCTCAGAGACACTGGGGGCACACAAGAAGCAGTGTAAAGGGTGGGGAAGTAGCATCAAGGTTAGGAGGGGCCTTTTACACAGACTCTCCCGTCCCAGGGTTCAGCCGACTCCTACACCAGCCGCCCCTCTCTGGACTCAGACGTCTCCCTGGAGGAGGACCGGGAGAGTGCCAGGCGAGAAGTGGAGAGCCAGGCTCAGCAGCAGCTGGAGAGAGCCAAGGTATACCTGCCGGCCGGGGGCCAGGCTAGGTGCAAACCTGTGCAGGATCTCAGGTCCCCAGGGTCACGTCAGGGTGTGGAAAAGTGTGTGTGGCGGGCAAGAGGCTTCTCATCTGGGGCCTCTGCCTGCCTTCCCCCAAGAGATGTTCTGGTCTCTCTCATTGCCCTGGTGATCAAATTTCCCAGCACAAACCTGTGGCATTTGCTGTGAGGACCAATGTCAGCTACTGTGGGGTGCTGGATGAGGAGTGTCCAGTCCAGGGCTCTGGAGTCAACTTCGAGGCCAAAGATTTTCTGCACATTAAAGAGGTAATCAACCTTATTCTCCCCCGAAGCCTACTCTACCCTACTCTAGCACTTAATTTTCCTGTTGCTGTCCCAGGCCCTAGTGCCTCTTCAGTTCTAGATCTAAAATAAGTCCTCAGCTCCTCCAGTTTGATCTGTGTGTGCACACCTGTGTACCCCTCCCTCATACATGGACCTGACTCCTCCATTTCATCTCTCTGTGTGTGCATACCTGTGTTCCCCTCACACACAGACCTGATTCCTCCATTTCATCTCTGTGTGTGTGCACACCTGTGTACCCCTCACACACAGACCTGACTCCCAGTTTCATTGTGTGCACACCTGTGTGCCCCTCATACACAGACCTGACTCCCATCTGTGTGCACACCTGTGTACCCCTCACACACAGACCTGACTCCTCCAGTTTCATCTGTGTGTGTGCACACCTGTGTACCCCTCACACACAGACCTGACTCCTCCATTTCATCTCTGTGTGCACACCTGTGTACCCCTCACACACAGACCTGACTCCCAGTTTCATTATGTGCACACCTGTTTGCCCCTCACACACAGACCTGATTCCAAAGGTCCCCACCATTCTCAGACCTGGCTTGGTCCTCAGTTCTGTGTCTAAGGGAGAAGTTAGAGTAACTAACCAGTCTCTTGTGACATCTGCGATGCTACACGGCTTGTGGCGTGAACCTGGCCGCACTCTCCTGTGATGCCATCATACTCTCCTTGGCCCTTCTTCTGCCTTCCTTACACCAACTTCCCAGAGTCTTTCCTGGCTCCAAAGCCTGGGCCAGTGCCTCTCACAGCTCCTCCCCACTCTCACCCCCCCCAGAAGCCTCTCACAGCTCCTCCCCACTCTCACCCCCCCCC